GTGGAGCAGGGATGGGGCCAGTTTTTGGGCACTTGGTCTCTAAAAGGTTCGCCATCACTGGTATACGTGCTCTAGTTCAGAACTGAACTGTGGAGTCCTTGGTGCTCATCGAAGCTCAGAGAGCACCAAAGATCCAAAGAGAAGACTAGAAAGTCTCAAGGACTGGAGGATTTGTGTGGTTCTCATTGACATTACATCATATGTGATCCAGAGCTCTTGCATTTTGTACTAAATACTGTTTTATGTTTCTAACATGAAACTCTAATATTTAATAATAATTCTTTAAAAACTCTTGCATGTCATGCATGCTACTTTAAAGAGCTATATAGTTTAATAGGGCTGAGTTATTGTTCTCCCACCTGCTTTTAAGAAATAGTAACAAGTTTTGTCAAGTTATAAATCCATAGCACCATATTCTTTAGAGCAGGCATGTCAAACTGCTGGCCCATGGGCTGGATGCATCATACTGAAACTGTGCCCACCTCATTGCCGACAATGGCAAAAAAGTCATGATATGTCACGACACATCACGTGATGTTGCGAGTTTGACAACCCTGCTTTAGAGAATAGAGAGTCACAATAATTAGAAAAAAAGTAACATTACAGGAAGAGGTCACAAGTAGCTTACTTCCAATCTTTATCTGAATGAATTAACTGAGCTAAAATGTTAATTGCATTCAGAGATTTTCATTTGCTGAACTTTGTACATTCACAGTTTACTGAAAGATTTAAAGAAACTCATTCCATGCAAAATATTTTAAAAGCTAGTGGGTTTTGTTTAAAAGAAAAGACCTAAACACAGACTTACCATCACCTTCAGTTCCAGCTGGAAGATATAATAAAATGTGATTATTAACATCTGTAATCTATTTACATCTACATCTATAGCTAACACACATACACAAATAAAACAATTTCTCTCTTCACCTCACTAGAGTTCAACATCTTCAGATCTTGTCAGGTAATCAAATATTTAACAACATCACATGATTAGGGTTGTGCAATGTTCACTAAGAAACTAAAACAGCTGGAGAATTGCAAGGGTAAAAGGTCATGCAAATACTGAATTTTTTAGAATTTTGTTTAAATTCCGGATCTTACTTTTCTATAATTATATTGATCTAAATAGGACTTTTTTCTGCTGAATCACTACATCTGTTGCTGCTAAACCATAACTCTTTTCTTTTTCAATAGTTGTTGTAAATGGTATGGCAGGCTACTATCTTTCCTCTGGAAGAATTGGGTAAAATTCATCCTTTTTGGTTACATAAAAATTAGATTTTGTTTCAGAAGTTGAAAGTAACAGAATAACAGAGTTGGAAAGGAACTTGGAGGTCTTATAATCCAACCCCCTGCTCAGTCAGGAAACACTACACCATTTCAGATAAATAATTGTCTCATCTATTTTTTAAAACCTCCAGTGTTGGAGTGTCCACATCTTCCGGAGGCAAATTTTTCTATTGATTAATTGTCTAACTGTTAGGAAATTTCTCCTTAGTTCTGAGTTGGTTCTCTCCTTGATTAGTTTCCATCCATTGCTTCTTGTTCTGCCTTCAGTTAACCCCTCTTCTTTGTGGCAGCCCCTTAGATCAGAAGTCCTCAACCTTTTGGGCACTAGGGACCAGTTCTGTGGAGAGAGGTTTTTCTGTGGACCAGAGGGGCCATGGTTTTGGATGCTGCCTGCATCCCATGGATGGGGCTTTGTTTGTTTGTGTGGACCGGTTGCTGGCATGCCGCAGCCCAGTACTGGTCCACGGACCGGGGATTGGGGATCCCTGCTTTAGATATTGGAACATTGCTATCATATCATCTCTAGTCCTTATTTTTATTAAACTAGACATATCCAATTCCTGCAACTGTTCTTCATATGCTTTAGCCTCCAGCCCCCTAATCTTCTTTGTTGCACTCTGCACTCTTTCTAGAGTCTCAACATCTTTTTTTTATATCATGATGACCAAAACTGGATGCAATATTCCAAGTGCTGTCTTACCAAGGCATTACAAAGTGGTACTAACAGTTCCGGTAATCTTGATTCTATCCCTTTGTTAATGGAGCCTAGGACTGTGTTGGCTTTTTTGGCAGCTGCAGCACACTGCTGGCTCATATTTAAGAGTGGACACTCTTAGAGTATCCACTAGCACTCTAAGATCCCTCTCGTAGTTACTACTATTGAGCCTATACCTGTGCATTTGGTTTTTCTTGCCTAAATGGAGAACGTTACTTTTCTCCTCACTCAATTTCATTTTGTTAGATAGTGTTCAAGTCTGTCAAGATCCTTCTTTATCTTGAGCTTATCTTCTGGCATATTGGCTATTCCTGCCAGCTTGGTGTCATCTGCAAATTCGATGAGTTCCCTTTCTAACCCCTCATCTAAATCATTAAGATAGACCCTTGGGGTCCCCCACTGCATACTTCCCTCCATGTAGAAGCAGTTCCATTAAGGACTACATGTTGAGTATGATTAATCAGCCACTTACAAGTCCATTTGGTAGTGATGCTGCCTAACCCACATTTTTCTATCTTCGCAAGTAAGAGTTTATAGTCTATTTATCATACCTTACCAAAGTCCAAATAAATGATATCCACAGCACTTTGTCAAATAATGCAATAAGTTTTGTCTGGCATATTTGTTTTTGCCAAACTCATGCTGGGTTTGTCATCAGACTTCTATCAGTGGCACTTTTATTTCATGTTTGTTTGCCTTCTTCATTTGGTTCTGAGCAATACACTTTGACTTTTGAAAGTAGAGCAGTCTTACCTGAATACACAATTTCAGAATTTTGAATTAACTATCTTCATAGTAATATCTACTAATGGTTCTATTCATAATCTTCCCTAAGAACTATAATTATAAAATTTATGGTGGTCTTATTTCTATTGAACATGCAAAATCACAAGCATTCAAAAGTTAATACCAAACTCCATACTGTGAATCATTAATACTATTATTATGAAGACATTTAATGTAAAAAATATTCCCAAAGTAGTCCTTTGCAACCTATTTCCCACTAGTAGTGATGAAATCCCAAAAAATTGGAAGATACCAGCTTTGATAAGATGTTCCATAGTTTGGTACATTATTATTATACAAGAACATAGACAAATATTCATAAACATGAAAGAGAAGACTTACCTGGTTTATACTTTTCATCTGTAAGAAAATAATTTTCAAAAAGTTAAAGCACTAATAATTAATTAATCATTAACATATGTATGTTATTTTTGTTTGCAGCATTTTAAACTTGTTTATTTTAAGATCTTTGTTTAAGATACTATTTAGCACAGATAGTAAACTGAACTGAAGGAAACAAGATAGGTAAGAAAAAAATTACAGGTGATTCTTGATTAATAACTGCCTTGTTCAGTGATCACTTGAATTCTCGTGGCACTGGTCCTCAAATGTATCACAACATCCCTGCAGTCACATGATGACAATATGGGTGGTTCTCAATTGGATGCATTTACAATGGTCGCAGTGTCCCACAAACACATGGCTGACATTTGTGACTTTCAAAGTCAACTTCTGACAAGCAAAATCAATGGGGAAGCTTACAGTAAGTTGCAAGTCATGATTAAAAGATGTTGTATTTAACAACCACAGATGATTCTCTTAATTACTGAAGCAGAGCTGACGTTATAAGCTGGGCACAGTCATGTAATGTTTCATTGAGTGACCGCATCATTTAGAATCAGAGTTGCTAGTTCCTCTTGTGGTGATTAAGTGATACCTACCTGTATTTTATTCTCTGAACCTATTTAGAATGGCCTTCAAATTCAGATCAAATCCAGCGCTATGCAAATTGAGCATATCATGATTGCTCTTGAAGTTTTAACCTTAACATTATTAGTGTTTGAGACTCTTCTCCAGTTTATTTCTAGATTGTATAGCAACTGAAATATGAATGATATTGGAGCTCTGGAGTAGCATTGTTCTACAGTGATTAGCAGAACAATTAAGAATGACCATTTTATCTAATAAGATTTCATCTTCCTTAGAATTTAATCAGTAATTGCACAAGCAATGTTTGAACTGCTGCCTTCACAAGGGAGCAATTTGATTATACCAGACATTCTCAAATAAGCCCCTGCCTTTCCTAGGGGATTAACAGATGAATTATCACAACTTCCCAAATGATTCTCTCTTTCCATATGTTCATAGTGATCCAAATATTAACAGAATGTCATGGGAACTATCACAAAAAAGGCAACAATCAGTAGACCACGAATGTCCAACTCGCCACATCACATGATGTGTCGCGACGTATCGTGACTTTTTTTGCATTGTGGGCTGGCAGTTTGACACCCCTGCAGTAGATCGTACAGTATGCAACAAGGAATATGTGAAAGGGCCATTCAGGATTTGCTTTCAAGTACTTGTTCTGTTTCTTCTTTCTATTGCAGACTCATAGTTCATTTTAAATGATTACTTAAAAATATCAGTAAAAAGGTCACACAGACATTTAGCATGCGTTAGGGCAACATCTGTTAAGACACTATGAATAGTTTACACTGGGATTCAATTTACAACAGCAATTGCCATCCTAAGTGATACAGTCACACTTTATGACCACTCAACTTTGTGACAGAAATTCTGGTCTCAATAGCCATTGTAAGTGAAGAATTACTTGCAGTAGTTTGATCACCTGGAACATTCAAGTGAATAATCTCTTTCTCTGTCATGGCCCCCAACCTCTGAAATAGAATAGGTAAAGACGCCGTCTCTCTTCTAGGGTTCCGAAAAACTTTTAAAACCTGGCTTTGGTCCCAGGCCTGGGGTTGGTGTATCAGTATTATTGTGGTTTTTTTTGTTGGATTTGTGTTATTTACAAGTTAATTTTACTTTAGGCTCTCTGTTTGATTTGATATTTTAAATTTTATGGATTTCCCAGACTATGCTCCTCAAAGTCTATTGGATTTGGGCAACTAATATGACAAGAGAGACAATAAAATTAATACCTGTAGTAAGGGAACCATCTTATCTTAAAAGTGCCTCTACGGTACTATTTAGTGATTCCACATTTCCAGTAAAAATCAAGACTTGAGAAGTTCATACCTGTGCAAAGAACTGTAGCATCTTGTTGATGATTGCAGTTATGCACACCCCACCCAGGGTTCTTACAACTCCACAGAAAGAATTCATCTCCATTGCATTGGACGTCACTTAGGACAATTTTGCCGGAGCCTGAGCCAAACTTAGGCCAGGGCAGGGTTGCTACAGCATCCCCACATCCTAGCTGTTGGCAAACGACCTGAGCATCTTTCATATCCCAGTTGTTGTTACAGACAGTTCCCCAGGCTCCTTCATAATACACTTCCACACGTCCCTCACAATAGTTGTACGTGCCTGCAAGTCTGAGAGACAATCCTATGCAAGACAAAGTGAACAGATTAATATTGTTTACAGTTGGAAGTGAATGAAATACAATAGGGTTAGTTCTTTCATTTCACAGAATAGACTTCCCTGATTGGGGGGGGGAGGGGGTGTATCTATCAAGTATTCTGTAAATTTTGGGAATTATAGTGCCAACATCTGGAAAACTATCATATAAGCAGCTTGAGACTGAAACTTTCTTCTAACAGTACTTTAATCCAAAGTGAGTTTTAAATGGCAGTATAGTAGGTATTTATATGTATTTATTTTTATGGAAGGGTGGTAGAAAACTCAGTGAAAATTCTGACCACTTAAGTATTTCTTTTTCCCAAGCTATCCTGGAAGTGCCTTACCTTTATTTTGCTTTATTTTATGTAACAAATATCTAAATTTCATATCTAATTCTAACTCTCCTGTTTTACAATTGCACCATTCTATTCCACATATCTTTGCATACATTTCCGATTAACAGTAATGTTTTGCAAGAGATTTACTAAAATATAAAGCATTTTTGCATGTCACTCTCATTAGTATACATGCTTTTTAATCTGTGCTTTCTTAACATAAACATTTGATGGACATGACAGATAGGAGATGAATATTGCATTGCCAGTCAATTTTCACAAGCACAATTTTCACAATTCAATTTTGAAGAGGTATGTTAGATTAAAAATACAAAATTATAGCAATTTTCATTAAAATGGGCACCAGACTAATTTCTTCCCCGTACCTAAATGAGAATATTCCCATGATTGATTATGATTATATGTGGTTGGGGATGTGATGTAAAAGAAAGTTGTGTTTTTCAAAGGGACATTTTTGCACATAAGCACATTTTCCCTATGTGCTCAGTTTGTTTTACGAAAGATAAGAAGGTATGAAATATAAGATTCATATTTGTGAAGATAAAAGATATTATTTTTTTAGTTTAGTTAGTCTGACATTCCATCAGACTAACCTAGTGTTGAATACAGTTGCACTAACCTGGTGTTGGAGGTATCATCGGGGTAGATAGAGCTGGCACTAAATTGTGATTAAAGAAGCAGATTATTACAATAATTATCACCATCATTGCTGTTATGATAATAATTTCCAAATGCATACAAAACCCTTTGATCGCACTGTACAAAGAATACTGAATTGATACACAGGAACGTTGACTGAAACCCTCAAAATCTAGTTTCCCCCAAAATACTGGTGGCATAAGGCATAATTCCACAAGGGGGAGCTAAATCTTTATATTTAGTAACCTTCCAATCTAAAAATGGATATAAAGTTAGGGCTCCTTGCTATATTTATAGTTGTTCTAAAAGTGGGTCATTAGAAGTAAAAAAAAAAAAAAAAAAAACCGCTACTGAAACCCAACACCCACCGTTAGATTTCATTTTGTCTTTGCACAACTAGAAGTTTATATTTGTAAAGCTACCACATCCAGGTGAAAAAATATCGAGCCAACTCCAAGATGGCAATTAAAATATACAGAAACCTCTATTTTCTTGCTGCCATCATGTGGCTACATGAATTTTTCCAGATCAGATATAGCAGTCCGAAATAAATACAACTGGGTTTATTCATTTTGGGTTGCAGATGGGGACTGCAGCCAAGAAATTAAAAGACGCTTGCTCCTGGGGAGGAAAGCTATGGCAAATCTAGACAGCATACTAAAAAGCAGAGACATCACCCTGCCAACAAAAGTACGTATAGTCAAGGCCATGGTTTTCCCAGTTGCAATGTATGGCTGTGAAAGTTGGACCATAAGAAAGGCTAAGCGCAAAAGAATTGAGGCCTTTGAACTATGGTGCTGGAGAAGACTCCTGTGAGTCCCCTGGACTGCAAGGCGATCAAACCGGTCAGTCCTAGAGGAGATCAACCCTGACTGCTCTTTAGTAGGCCAGATCCTGAAGTTGAAACTCAAGTACTTTGGCCACCTAATGAGAAGGAAGGACTCACTGGAGAAGAGCCTAATGCTGGGAAAGATTGAGGGCAATAGAAGAAGGGGACGACAGAGAATGAGGTGGCTGGATGGAGTAACTGAAGCAGTAGGCGTGAGCTTAAATGGACTCCAGAAGATGGTAGAGGACAGGAAGGCCTGGAGGAACATTGTCCATGGGGTCATGATGGGTCAGACACAACTTCGCAACTAACAACAATAACAATAATGCAAAGGATTTAACATCACCGTGTGGGTCCTCTTCTTAAATTCAAAGTCTTAAAAAAGTACTTAGTGCCACTATTAAATAATAAAATAATAAAACGGTTAGCCTTTGTGCAATCATGTCAGGATTATCATTGGCAGTTAAATCTACTCTTCCCTGCTACTGAGAATCACTTCATTCTAAACTTTGTCCTTGGAAAATTTTCCACCTTGAAGAGTTCAATACCCTTGAATATATAGTAGGCATGTTACCTGAGCCAACGTCCTGAAGTATTTCTGTAATTAACATTAAAAATAGTGTGGGTTCCATGGCAGGATACATCCTCCTGGGTCTTTTCTTTTTGTATAAAGTATGTTTGCGTTCTTATATATATTGAGTTTTCAAGGGAGTGTCTTACTGTTTCTTTTGGCAATAATAAAACGAAAAACAAATGAGAAGATCTGTTAAAACTCTCTCTCTCTCTCTGTTTTTTTTCTCTCCCTTCCCTCCCCAACCCCCCCTCTCTCTCACTCTCTCTCTCTCTCTCTCTCTCTCTCTCTCTCTCTCTCTCTCTCACACACACACACACACACACACACACATACACCGAACAACTCATTTTTTCAAAAGCTTTGGTTCCTGAAAATCGTTTGGTGATTATGATAAACTCCTTCCAAATGAATGCAAATATAATTTCAGAATGACTGTATCTCATAGGAATCTTGAGAAATATGAAATTAACTTTTGGTGACTATAATACATTTAATGGCATTAATGCTTCTGACAGGTGCATGAGTTTCCCAGAGCTAAAAGTTTTGCTGATGATTTCCATTTGCACTCAGTGTCTGAAGCATCTCATTGCAGTGTTCGATAATAATCAGCCAGCACTGTTGGATTCCAAAATAGATCCCTTTCTAGTGGATCATGCTCATAACTCATGACTGTAAACTGTCAATGTCAGCTCAGAAATTAAAGTTGTCAATCTGTGTAAAGAAATTTGTTAAGTCATTCTGGCGACTTTGCAGAAATAGAAGATTTTTATAAAACAGCACTTGATAGTTTAAATTACAGGTTATTTTTGTAACTAGCAGCCAACAATCTACAAGATACCTCCAAAAGTGTCCAGAAAGTAAAATATTTGTTGTCCAGTGATTAGCATAGTATAGGAGAGTTTGAATAATCAGCGTTATAAAACTAGTTTAATNCTTTAGAAGGCCAGATCCTGAAGTTGAAACTCAAATACTTTGGCCACCTAATGAGAAGGAAGGACTCACTGGAGAAGGGCCTAATGCTGGGAAAGATTGAGGGCAATAGAAGAAGGGAACGACAGAGAATGAGGTGGCTGGATGGAGTCACTGAAGCAGTAGGCGTGAGCTTAAATGGACTCCAGAAGATGGTAGAGGATAGGAAGGCCTGGAGGAACGTTGACCATGGGGTCGTGATGGGTCGGACACGACTTCGCAACAAACAAAAACAACAACAATGCAAAGGATTTAACATCACCATGTGGGTCCTCTTCTTAAATTCTTTAAAAGTCTTTAAAAAGTATTTAGTGCCACTATTAAATAATAAAATAATAAAACAATTAGCCTTTGTGCAATCATGTCAGGATTATCATTGGCAGTTAAATCTACTCTTCCCTGCTACTGAGGATCACTTCATTCTAATCTTTGTCCTTGGAAAATTTTCCACCTTGCAGAGTTCAATATAGATATATAGTAGGCATGTTACCTGAGCCAACGTCCTGAAGTATTTCTGTAATTAACATTAAAAATAGTGTGGGTTCCATGGCAGGATACATCCTCCTGGGTCTTTTCCTTTTGTATAAAGTATGTTTGCGTTCTTATATATATAATCAAGGTGTTGATTATCATCTTTAAAGCGCGGCATGGCATCGGACCTGGTTATCTCCGAGACCGCCTTCTGCCACAGATTACCTCTCATCGGCCGATACGCTCCCACAGAGAGGGTCTCCTCAGGGTGCCGTCAGCCAGACAGTGTCGGCTGGCGACCCCCAGGGGGAGGGCCTTCTCTGTTGGAGCCCCCACCCTTTGGAACGAACTACCTCCAGAGATCCGGGTGATTCCGGATCTCCCCTCCTTCCGCCGCGCCCTCAAGACATGGCTATTTAAGTTAGCAGGACTGGCCTAAGGGGTATTTTAATTTGGTTTTAAAATAATTTTAAAAAAGAAATGGCCAAAAATTAATATTTCATTTTAATTACATTTTAAATTTAGTATTATTGTATTAGTTATCTGTTTTAACTGGCTGTAAGCCGCCCTGAGTCCGTTAGGAGAAGGGCGGGGTACAAATTTGATAAATAAATAAATTGATAAATAAATAAATATATTGAGTTTTCAAGGGAGTGGCTTACTGTTTCTTTTGGCAATAATAAAACGAAAAATAAATGAGAAGATCTGTTAAAACTCTCTCTCTCTCTCTGTCTTTCTCTCTCCCTTCCCTCCCCATCCTCTCTCTCTCTCTCTCTCTCTCTCTCTCTCTCTCTCTCTCTCTCACACACACACACACACACACACACACACACCCCGAACAACTCATTTTTTCAAAATCTTTGCTTCCTGAAAATTGTTTGGTGATTATGGTAAACTCCTTCCAAATGAATGCAAATATAATTTCAGAATGACTGTATCTCATAGGAATCTTGAGAAATATGAAATTAACTTTTGGTGACTATAATACATTTAATGGCATTAATGATTCTGACAGGTGCATGAGTTTCTCAGAGCTAAAAGTGTTTTGCTGATGATTTCCATTTCCACTCAGTGTCTGAAGCATCTCATTGCAGTGTTCGATAATAATCAGCCAGCACTGTTGGATTCCAAAATAGACCCTTTTCTAGTAGATCATGCTCATAACTCATGACTGTAAACTGTCAATGTCAGCTCAGAAATTAAAGTTGTCAATCTGTGTAAAGAAATTTGTTAAATCATTCTGGTGACTTTGCAGAAATAGAAGATTTTTATAAAACAGTACTTGATAGTTGAAATTACGGGTTATTTTTGTGATTAGCAGCCAAAAATCTACAAGATACCTCCAAAACTGTCCATAAAGTAAAATATTTGTTGTCCAGTGATTAGCATAGTATAGGAGAGTTTGAATAATCAGCGTTATAAAACTAGTTTAATATCAGCTTCCCTGGCTATATCCTTTAGTTGAGACAAAAGCTAAAGCCTCATTTCTGTGCAAACAAAAATACAGAACTTTATCTTAAAACGGTCTTTTCTAGATGTGTGCTTGCAAGTATCGAACACAAGGAAACCTATTGTTTTACGTTCATTTAGAAACAAACAATTTATCATAAATGCAGTATCAGCTAATGACCACAGACAAAACAATTAGACAAAATAAAAAGTTACAAACGCACTTCACTGTAACCCTGTGGATACGCTTTGATGTTCTTCCTTCTTTGAGGTGCACTATGTACTATTAGGCAAGATTTGAACTCTGTGAGGTTCAGAGAACAGAAGTTCATCCTAAGAACATTTGTGCTTACTCTGCCCTACCTGAAGTTATAGATTAGTTGAGATGATCAGTGACTGCTTGTGTGGCTCATTCCATTGTATCACTGGAAGGCTAAGATCAAGAGAAATAACTAGAAGCTTGAGTCATCTTCTTCTTAATGCTAACTTTGCCTATTGCTTTGGGTAGTTCAACTATTATAACATATCAGACTAAGTAGACTTTTGTCATGAGAAAAGATCTTTGAATTTTGTTTTCTGAACTACAATGAAAACAAGTTTATTGTTGTTTTCCCTCACTTTGGTCATTTTAAAATAGCTTTGTCATTTTCTTAATTGTTTTAAGCAATCCCCAGATTCTTAAAATTTGTACAGAAAGATGCATTAAAC